ACCATTGTTAGCTTTTCTGTTTGCTGCTGCACATTGAGCAGATGTTTTCAGAGAACTATCCACAATGACTCCAAGATCTCTCTTGAGTGGTAATAGCTAATTTAGACCCCATCATTTTGTATGTATAGCTGGGATTATGGTTTTCCTATGTGCATTACTTTGCAATTAATCAACCTTGAATTTCATCTGACATTTTCTTGCTCATTTACCCAATTTAGTGAGATCCCTTTGTAACTCTCTGCAGTCAAATTTGGACTTAACTCTCGAGTGATTTTGTATCATTTGCAAACTTTGCCACCTCACTATTCAGTGTTAAGAATGACCCATGCGAATGCCTTACCAGCAACACTAACAAAAGTCCTCTGTATCGTTGCAATCACTCCAATCTCCTTTTATATACTGTATTATGATGATAGCATCCTTCATGTCTTGTGGTACTCCTCCTTCCCTTCAGCGGGCAAGCAAGGCATTGTGCAAATGTTCAAGCACAACTTCTCCTTGTTCCAGTACTTCAGCTGGAATTCCATTTTTTCCCCGGTGTCCTTTCCTGATGCTAGGGAGGTGATTGCCTTTTCAAGCACATTTATAGATGGTTCTATATCGAACTCTTCACTAATCTGGAATCTACAGATCATGCTTAGCACTGCTTCAAAAACAATGGTTTCATGCAAGTAGTTTGTAACTGATGCAACATTGGGTGGAGCATTGTTTCCTTCTATCAGTAATGATGTCTCCATTAAGAGATTTGAGTGGGACAGTCTTCTTGGCAGAAAGATGTATTGCTTTCTTGATTCCATCATACATACCTCTTATGTGTCTATTCTCAAAGGAAATTTGCATCTTCTCGCACAGACCAAGACAGCGTGAGGATACTGCAATGCACCCTTGACCACTCTGGGGTTAGCACATGTCTCAGAATAGAGTTAATATCGTCGATAAAATATGCTCTGCACTTTACTTCAATAACTGGAAGTATTTCTTCAAGGTAGGATTAAAGCGATAATGACTAGGCCCAAAGACTTGAAGGCCATGATGTTTGGAAGCCAGCATAGCCGCAGGAGATGCTGGAGGGCAGAGCTGTACTATAGTGCCAACCACCTGACATTTTCCCCACAGCAAATTTGATTCAGGGTTTTCTCCCCTGGCCTTTGTTCAGTCAAGAACTAGCTGCAATGCAGCAGCACCAGCTGGAGTTACTCCTTTGTGAACATTGTTTTTTATTCCAATGGGGATCTGGCATACCCTCCTAAAGAAACTACTCTACAGTGATGTGAGCCATGTCAATCCAGCCTTCTCTAGGAAACAAATGAAGGGGGGAAAAGAGGGGACAATTCTTCAGCCATCTCTACAGCCCATTTCTTGTAAGCATCATGGAGAGGAAAAGACACAGCCTTAAGGATCAGTTCAGAGAGGGCATTCGGCATGAAAGGGGCAACATGAAAAGCAGTGCTAATATTGTTATGGGAAAAACAGACAAAACAAGATAATTAGGCCCCCAACATTGGTAAAGTTGAAGGAGTCAGGGTGAGAGATAGAACAAGGACACTGCATTTAGCCCATTTCAGCAAGCCATCCACATTCAGCAAAGCATGAATATAAAATGGGACTTAGGCACATGATTTGGCATTCACTTGACATGTTCAAGCCACATGAGACTTTACTTACTAATCAACATCCCCACAAATGACCAACCAGCACGATTTAACACTTCCACCTTTATCACCCTGTCTTGCCATCTTATTTGAAGAATTTTACACAAGCATCTGATATGAAAGCAGTTTAGTTTTTTGGGTATGTTTAGCGTAAATGCCAGATTACAGGAACCCAAAGAGTGCACTGTACTCTGAAGCTCTTGGAGGACGTAGAAAGAGAGACAGACCGCTGTGGAGATTTGAGGATGCTTGCAAAGATGACTTAGTATCCTTTGGAATCTCTGTGGATGACTGGGAAAGGAGTGCAGAATGCCATGCTGGTTGGCAAGGCCAGCTTGTAGATGGAACAAAGCGGACTGGATCAAGCTTCCTGATGACTAGCGTCAGAGGAGGAAAGAATCTGCTGCTCTGATTCAAAGCATTGCTTGCGTGTGGGTGTGCCCTACCAGTGGGGATGTCATCTCACTAACCCTCCCCTATGATGCTCAAGTCAACCCTGGGCCAAGTGTTGTGATGGTAAGAAATTAGGGAGGGGGGACAGGAGGCAATCAGATCTGGAATGACATGAATTTTAAAGGCACAATCTTTCAAGATGCTATGAGGACCAGAAAGAAATGCTTTCTACCGCACCACTGGAAAGAAAAGATTCCCCTCTCTCCAACAGCACTTCTTCCTAAATCTGGTGGCTTGTAAGGCATCAGATGTCAAATCTGTCACAGCCCCTTGGTCCTGCAATGCTTTTGGGGTACTGGAATAGTAAAACAGTTTAATTTTTAATCAGTCGACATTGACAAACACAAAACCAAGTGCATCGTAAAACACTCACATAACCCAAGCTCTTCCGAACCCAATAAGAAAACAGTGTTGCTGTGTATTCATTTTGTTCTAGCACTGGATCATTCCATCCAGAGAGCTGCTCTCAATGGGGTGTTAGCTCCTTGGACTTCTTCCCCACTTGCTCCATGTTCTTTCTGTATTGAGAACTCTTCAGACTGCCTCTCTTTCATCAGATGCATAAATAAGGTTTCCTCCTGTTGTGATGAACTACTTCAAAGGGGACACTTGCTACCAGTTTAAGCCAAAAAAATATGATCCAAGTTAAAACTGTTCCAAACCTAACCGAGGTGGGAAAAGGCAGGAGATGGTGAAGTCTTCCAGATATTAAAAAATGCAAGACAAGATATCACTTAACTTAGAAGTATTTCCAAGGACATGAGCCAGGCCCAGAGGGACTCCTGGCACCAAGAAACAAAACAGACAAGAATGAGTTTGAAACTAAAATGAAAAACTAAACATAAAACTGTATAAACTCAGAAGGAGTCAGCAGGGTGCAGTGCTACAAAAATCACAGGTTTTAAAGAACAACATTCAGTGTGGAATAAAGAACAGTTCTTGAGAAGGAGAAAGCAGGAGTTGATTGTCATTAGTTGGATAGGCTATTAATTTAGAGGAAACAACTGAAGCCCATCTCTTGTTGGCCTTCAATTTATTTCTCAAGGTCAGAAAAAAACTCTAAAAACAATCAGCTGGCACAGGAGCGCAGGATTAAAGGAAACGTAGGAGGCCCATGCAGTGGGAAACTAAGTCCTCTTTAATTTGCTTCCAAGTTTCAGCCTGGAGCCATGAGTACAAATCCTAATGAAGAGGCGTACAAGTAAGTTCTGAAACAGAGCTGCACATAGGACAGATCAGCTGATAAGGGCTCACAACAGGATAGATTCTCCTTTGCATTTGGATCCCTTAGCTCTGCGACCTAGCTACACAAAGGGGCTGAAAAGTAGCTAGGTCTGGCCAGCTAAGCATTCCCCTCATTGTGGGGGAACTGTAAGCCATTACAGAGCCCAGATACCCACCTCCATGCCATGCCCACCATAGAATACGGTTAGCAGGGAAAGGCTGCAGCCAGAGTACAATACACAGGCAGCATTCAGTGGTCATAGCGCCCCTCCAGACCATAGCCAGCTAACTTAAGAACAGCATCTAAGTTGGTCTACCCTACACGGGAGTTCAGTATGGCACAGATCCATCCCAGACACCTCCCCCTTCTCACTGAGATAGGAAGCTTAGTGAAGCAAAGATTCTTGGCCAGCATATTTAAATAGGCTACTTCAAGCAATCCGGTTTATTCACATGTATATTCACAGATTTTAAGACCAGAAGAGGCCACTGTGATCCCACAGTCTGACTTCCTGCATAACACTGGCCCTAGAATTTCACTTAGAGATTCCTGTACCCTGCCCCCCAAAGAGAATCTCTTACAGCTCTCTGTCTCCATACAGCAAAGATACACTCAAGAACCAACAAAGGTAGCTCATCTGAGAAGCTGAAGAGAATCCTGAAGGAAATGAAGTGGTTTCATTTGATTCAGAAATATTTTTTAAATGTTTTTGGAAAAACTATAGAGAGTTTTTGATAAATTAAAAAAAAATTTCAGTGCACAAAAGGTCACTTGTATTTACAATATTGATCTGGCTGCCAGCTACCCAATACTTAGATTAAACTATCAGTGTCCTAGCAAAAGCATAGGTCTTTAAAAAACAGGTTACATTGTCCGTTGCAATCCCCAAGTTCAGTTGACTTAAAGTACTGTCCTTAAGTCATGCTACCAATTGTCTCTGAGGTTTGACAGCATAACAATACAACTCACCCCTTTAGAGAGGCTCATAGCCAAATAACAAGGTTGGTGCAATTGTTAGGTCTATAACCTAGTTGTAGTCCAGGCCATACTACTTCTCAACTATGTCATAGATGAGGTACCTCAAGCCTGGACAACATTTGCATATGCAAACGAGATAGGGTGACCAGACAGCAAGTGTGAAAAATCAGGATGGTGGGGGAAATAGTTCCCTATATAAGACAAAGCCCCTATTATCAGGATGTCTGGCCACCTTAAAACAAGAGCTTGTGTATGCAAATAACAATGCCTTGAGTGTACCTTATTACTGAAACAGTGTTCGACAGCCACATCCTAACCAGTGTTTTATACACTGATAAAATATAAAATTAGATGTTCAATGGATTTATTTTCCTACTTGCTTTTAAAATAAATCTAACTGCTCCCATACTAACACAATAGGCATCAACAGTAAACCAAAGCAAGTTACTCTCCTCTCGATTTAGACTGCTGGAGCAAAGGAAGAAACAATGCCTCCTTGCTAATGTAACTACTGTTCCTATCGTATTTGAAGGGGAAGGGAGAAAGAACAGCAAGAAGGAAAGGGAAAAAAACAAAAAAACACACCATTTGTGACAGGATCACTTTGTACAAGATGGACTCATGCCAGGGCTATTTTAACTTAGCTTAACAAACAGAAGGCTAAGGAGTGACTGATTACAGTCTGTACGTACTTACGTGGGGAGCAGATACTTGATAAAGAGCTCTCTAATCTAGCAGAGAACGGTATAACATGATCCAATGGCTGGAAGTTCAAGCTAGACAAATTCAGACAGGAAATAAGGTGTTAATTTTTAACAGTGAAGGTAACTAACCATAGTAACAATTTACCAAGGGTCGTAGTGGATTCTCTATCACTGGCAATTTTTAAATCAAGATTGGATGTTTTTCTAAAAGATCTGCTCTAGGAATTATTTTGCAGGAGTTCTCTGGCCTGTGTTATATAGGAAGTCATACTAGATCAGTGGTCCCCCTTCCGGCCTTTGAATCTATGAATAAAATCCAGTCAGTGGTTAACAAGTTTGCACAATCATACAAGAGAGAAAACACCCAAAAATCTCATTCCAGAGACTAATTGCTGGAAAGCAGAAAAAGGGTCTTCAAAGTAGCTAGAACCCATCTCTTTCTAGGGGCTGTTTCAGCTGATAAATCTTAGAGTGCTTCGCTTTTTTTGTATGAAGGGTCATTGTAGCCAAGTTGGTCCCAGGATATTAGAGACACTAGGTGGGTGAAGTAATATCTTTTATTGGACCAACGTCGGTTGGTAAAATACTACCTCACCCACCTTGCTTTTTTGTGCACATACACTCATATTGCCCTGCTTTATATTTTCCAAATACTTTCTAAATAAAATGACACATCTTTGTACTGATAGCCTTTACCTTGAACAATGATTTTTTTAAATTTACCATGGGCCTTGTGAACAGGAATGTCAAAGTTCAACTTCTCTAAGGGTATGCCTACAGAGCAAGTAGACACTAGCTGACTTGGGCTCACAGGGCCTGGGCTGTGGGGTGGCTTCATTGCTGTGTAGACTTCCGGGATCAGGCTGGAGCGCGGTTGGGACTCTCTCACCTCACAGGGTCGTAGAGCCTGGGCTCCAGCCCAATCACAGACGTCTACACAGCAATGAAACAACCCAGCAGCCCTGATCTTTTTATTTACTTCAGTGGGAATTGGACTGAATCGGTCCCGGAGATTGTTCCGTGAAGATAGTAATAGCAATAGTAGTAAAAGCTGCTGCCATTGCATCCCTCTGAGAATAGGAATAGGTACTGGTAACTTCCATTTAAAAGTGATAGCAGAACAAAGAATAGGACACAGCATTAAGACAGTTTGTAGGCTATTTTGCTGACTACAGACCACTCTCGGTACACAGAATCCTGAATTAATGGTGGCATCCCAGTCTTTCATTGCAGTTGCAAGACCAAGTTTTTTGGGTGCAAGGCTAACACTTTACACTACATCACTAATGAGTCTGGCCTTAATGCCAGTATAATCAGCTCAGGGAGGATCGACCCAGTGCAAGAGCGAGCCTTCAAACCATAGCCGGTGTAGGAGCTTCCATACTGCCCTTCCTCTACTGCTGGCATTTCAAGGAAAAGGGGCAGGTCAAGATTCCTCTAGGCCAGAGGTGGGCAAACTACAGCCCGCAGACCACTTCCAGCCTGTGGGACCGTCCTGCCAGGCCCCTGAGCTCCTGGCCCGGGAGGCTAGCCAGCCCCTGGCCCTCCTCTGCTGTTCCTCCTCCCCCACAGCCTCAGCTCGCTCGCTCCGCTGCCAGCGCAATGCTCTGGGCAGGATGGGGCAGGAGTCCTGGGGGGCCATCAGGAATGAGAGGAAGGGTTGGATGGGGGGGGCAGGGGTCCGGGGAGCAGTCAGGGAACAGGGGTGTGTGGATGGGGCAAGGGTCCCGGGCGGGGGGCCGTCGGGGGGGGTTGGATGGGGCAGAAGTCCGGGGGGGGGC